TGCAACCCCGAGTATGACGACCTCCCTCGCCACCATTCGAGCGGACACCCGTCCTGTTGTGTGATGTCATCATATGCTATCACATTCTGTCTGCCTCCCATCCCATGTTTTCAACTTGCATGTGTGGTTTGAATGTGAAAGAATTTGTGTGTGGTGTGTTCTGGAGTTTGGGAATGTGTTCTGTGTTATTTTTGTTTGAGCAGGTATTTTGATGATAGATCTTGAGAAGATCTTTCCGACGCAACAAGAATCGCTTCAATCGGAGCAAGAACGCGAAAGCTATGAAGATTCAAAGTTCATGAGCTTGCGTTACAATTGCGGCGGTTACAAAGTGAAGTTGTGGGGTGACTCTATATGGAGTTGGGACCTTTGGGGTTGGGGAAATTTGTCACTCTACTGTAACAGCTGCAAATTGGTTGGGAACAACCAAGCTAGGTTGGCAAGGGTGGCCAACTTGGATGGATTGGTTGGGAAGGGACAAAGGTCAAAGTTGAGGTTCCTATAGGGAGGGAATCTTTGTGCTTATGGGGTTTCCTTGGTTGGGGACTCTCTTGGGACCTTCCCTCTCGTCCCTCTCTTTCTATCCCAACCTTTCTCTTGCTCCTCAAATTCCTTGTGAGATTCTTGAACTTTGATTGAACTTTTGAGATTGAGTTAAGTTCTCCTCCTACAGCTTACCCCCTAATGCGTCGAAAGCCATAGCGTCGCGAATACTTCATCAATCAACGTGTTTCAAATTGGGAACGGTAGCTGAGATTAAGAGCTACAACATATCTGAGTTTCGCGACATTCCAACGGCTAGTTTTCCGTCGACGTTGTTTCTTGTGAAGACGACTTTTCTGTCCAGAATTTCGGATTTATATTTTGAGTAATTCTAGCTCCTAAGTTCACCTAGACTCCGTCCTTAATACTAACAAGTGGTATCAGAGCGATATTAAGGACATTGAGAGGAGTCTACAGAAGTGTGAAGACCCTTCTAGACCCACCATGGCCTGTGGGTGTGCCTAAGTGGTGTTCTAAAGGTTGGATGTGTCTTCCGCTAAGGGGAAACTCTGCCGAAATTTCGTGGACGCCGACACTTGTGAAAATATCGAGGGAGCTGAGTGTGGACAGCAAAGGGGAGCTGAAATTCGTCATTTCTCAAGGAGAAGATGAATGAGAGAGGAGGAGATGCTAATGGAAGAGGAGCTGTAGCTGAGAAGACAAGTGAGCCGCCGCCATCAAAAGTTGAAGCTTTGGATGGCTCCAACTATGAGGAATGGAGCGGACGGATGAGGAGTGCCTTCAAACGCTACAAGCTCCTGAAGATTGCTGTTGGGGAAGAGAAGATGCCGGAAGAAGGCGAAGCACGTGAACGGTGGATTGAGAAAAGCGCGGTGCTTTTCGACCTCATTCTTCAATCGGTCAACAAGGAGATGTTCGAGCACATCAAGGATCTTGTGGAAGCGGATGATTCGGGTCCAAGGGCGTGGAAACTACTACGTGATGTGGTTCAGCCCAACACTCTCCCGATGGTGATCGTGCTCGAGAAGGAACTTGCTGCCATCTCCATGCGACCAGGGGACGATGTGAAGCCGGTCCTTGACAAGATCAAGGACACCTATGCAAGGATGGCAGCAGCGGGCAGCAGTGTATCTCAGCTGCAGCAGTGCACCAAGATCATCTCGGTGTTGGACAACTCTTGGGACAACCTCATCCCCACCCTCAACTCTCAGCAAGATCAATGGACACCTGAGTGGCTAAGGCAGCAGATTCTGCAGGAGGACTTCCGCAGACGCCATGTGGGAGGCGGTGCTGCCACTAAGACTGCTGAGGGGTATGGAGCTGCAGGGCGCAGCAGAGGAAGAGGGGGTTGGAAAGGCCGAGGCCGTGGGAGGAGCTTTGGCAGAGGTAGAGGCCGAGGTGACTATAATGAGGGGCATGGGAGCTCTAGTGGCAGGGGGAGTACCAGAATGGAGGGCACGTGCTGGTACTGCAAGAAGGTTGGGCATCCTTGGTTCAAGTGCTTCAGCAGGCTGGAGGGATGGGCACCTCCAGGCATGAAGCCGCCCAGTGGTGAACGCGCACAAGGTGGCGCTGTGCAAGGCTCAGGTGCACAAGGTGAAGGTGCACAAGGTAATGCCTATCCTGGTTTGTTTGTTATGGTTGAGGATGTGCATGGGCATGAGGGTGATGTGGGATCTGTGGGAAAGGTTGTGATGCACCCTCTCACGCACTGGGTGATTGATTCGGGTTGCACCAGTCACATGACTCCACGGGCAGATTTGCTTGATGAGGTAAAACCCCCTGGGAAGATTAAGTATGTGGCAGCAGCGTCAGGTGCTTTGCTCCCCGTGATTGGTGTTGGGAATGCCAAGGTTAAGGGAGCTAATGGGGAGCTTGTGGGGCTTGGGAATGTTCTGCTGGTTAAAGGCTTGTCTGCTAACCTTCTCTCTGTGCGGCGACTGCAGAAGAGTAAGGCCGAAGTGACCTTTGGACCAACCAGCTGCCGTGCTAAGCTTGGGAAGAAGGTGCTGTGGAGTCTGGAAGAGGAGACCAGCTGCATCAAGGACCTGTGGCAGCTGCCCATCATCCCTTGGAATGGGAAGACTCCAACAGCAGCAACGGCAGCAGCGGCAAAGGCAACAGCAGGAGGAGATGCAACTGCACCAACTGATGGGGTCCTGGAAGCAGTCAAGAAAGTGCAGAAGCAGCAGACACATGGTGAGGTGCTTGCTGGTGTGGATGCGAGTGCGGCATGGGCTAAGGCTTCACCAAGGAGTGGAGAGGCCGATTGGGAGACATGGCATGAGAGGCTGTGTCATGTGAACTTCCCTATGCTGCAGAAGTTGGTGAAGGATGGGAGCCTGAAGGGCTTGGAGGTGAAAGGGGGAGTGAAGGAGATTGGGAGCTGCCCTACATGCTTGGAGACCAAGTTCTCCAAGTTCCCCTTCAACAGCACTACAGGACCAGCCAAGACCCCACTTGCACTTGTGCATATGGATGTGGTGGGGCCCACAAGAGCCCCTTCCCTCTCAGGCAGCCGCTATTTCTTGACAATTGTGGATGACCACACTCGGGCAGTGTGGGTTTACCCTTTGAAGAGCAAGGGGGAGGTGGCAGCGGCTGTCCTTAAGGAGTGGATGCCTAGAGCTCAGAGGGAATGCGGACACAAGGTGAAGGTGATCCGCAGTGACAATGGTGGGGAGTTCATTGGAGCTGATTTTGAGGGGGAGTTGAAGAGGAAGGGGATCCAGCATCAACTGACAGTGCCCTACAACCCGCAGCAGAATGGCGTGGCTGAGAGGTTCAACAGGACCCTGCAGGAGGGGGCACGCACTCTCCTTGGGCGTGCAGGGCTGCCTGATCCGTTTTGGGTGTCTGCACTGAGGCAGGTCGCCCTTGTGAAGAATAGGGTGCTGGCTACAGTTGGAGATAAGGAGTGGATCCCATATGCCAAGTGGTATGGGAGTGCTCCAGCGGTGAACATGCTGAGGGCATTTGGGTGCATGGTGGTGTTTCATGTGCCCAAGGAGAAAAGGGGGAAGTTGGAGGCTTCTGGAAGATGGGGTGTGCACTTGGGGATTGCAAAGGATCACAAGGGGTGGCTGCTATGGGACCTGACCACCCAGAAGCTGACAGTGTCAAGGGATGTGAAGTTTCTTGAGTCCCTGTACTATAAGGAATGGAAGCAGCAGCAACAGAAGCTTCCATCTACACCACTCATTGTGGAGGCAGATGAGTTGCAGCAGCCTTCAAGACAGGTGGAGGTTGCAGTGTCAGAGGAGGAGATGTCTGGGGTGACTGAGGAAGGGGGAGCAGCTGAGGTGGAGCAGCAGCAGCAGCATGAATCTCCACCTCGAGTTCCACACCCGCCTGAGCGTCCTAGGAGGGATGTGCGCCCTCCTGTGAGGCTGACCTATGGGGGAAGAGGCAAGCCGAATGTGGTGCAGGCTGGGAGTGTGGTTGAGCAGATTGAGGAAGATGAGATCGCTCACTGCTACTGGGCACCAATCCCTGAGTACATGGCCTTACACCATGGGGCCAAGGAAGTAGTGTGGCTAAGGCGTTTGTTGGAGGAGTTGGGAGTTGGTCAGGAGAAGCCGACAGTTGTGTTTTGTGACAATGAGTCCGCTGTGAAGCTCGCCAAGAATGCTTGTCTGCATGGGCTGACAAAACACATAAGGCCTAAGTGGCATTGGGTGAGGAGAATCCTTGATAAGGAGGTGCGGCTGGAGATAGTGAAGACCCATCAGCAGGCAGCAGATATTTTCACTAAGCGTCTGGCGGAGGCGGATCATTGGAAGGGCATGAAGCTTGCTGGGATGAGTGTGCATTGAGTATGCATGCTTGAGATGTGGTATGGTCGATGATGGTTGGCAGCCAGAGGGGGAGATTGTTGTGTGATGTCATCATATGCTATCACATTCTGTCTGCCTCCCATCCCATGTTTTCAACTTGCATGTGTGGTTTGAATGTGAAAGAATTTGTGTGTGGTGTGTTCTGGAGTTTGGGAATGTGTTCTGTGTTATTTTTGTTTGAGCAGGTATTTTGATGATAGATCTTGAGAAGATCTTTCCGACGCAACAAGAATCGCTTCAATCGGAGCAAGAACGCGAAAGCTATGAAGATTCAAAGTTCATGAGCTTGCGTTACAATTGCGGCGGTTACAAAGTGAAGTTGTGGGGTGACTCTATATGGAGTTGGGACCTTTGGGGTTGGGGAAATTTGTCACTCTACTGTAACAGCTGCAAATTGGTTGGGAACAACCAAGCTAGGTTGGCAAGGGTGGCCAACTTGGATGGATTGGTTGGGAAGGGACAAAGGTCAAAGTTGAGGTTCCTATAGGGAGGGAATCTTTGTGCTTATGGGGTTTCCTTGGTTGGGGACTCTCTTGGGACCTTCCCTCTCGTCCCTCTCTTTCTATCCCAACCTTTCTCTTGCTCCTCAAATTCCTTGTGAGATTCTTGAACTTTGATTGAACTTTTGAGATTGAGTTAAGTTCTCCTCCTACAGCTTACCCCCTAATGCGTCGAAAGCCATAGCGTCGCGAATACTTCATCAATCAACGTGTTTCAAATTGGGAACGGTAGCTGAGATTAAGAGCTACAACATATCTGAGTTTCGCGACATTCCAACGGCTAGTTTTCCGTCGACGTTGTTTCTTGTGAAGACGACTTTTCTGTCCAGAATTTCGGATTTATATTTTGAGTAATTCTAGCTCCTAAGTTCACCTAGACTCCGTCCTTAATACTAACACGTCCATGTCCAAGCATGCCTCCTGCAGGTACCTGTGAACCTTGTCCGGCGCAGCCACTCCCGTTCTCGCCTCCACCTCTGCCATCGCCGAGCCCAGCATGTCAAACAAGCGCCCGCCACCTCGGGCCCTAGCAACACTCCTCCCCCCCCAGTCCCGCGCTCCCCCTGTGCTCGTCCCCTCCTGGCCCCCGTCCACCGCACGCCTGCTCTGCTCATCCAGGTAACACTGCAAGCGCGCCCTGACCCATGTCACCACCTGCTCCAATGTGACGTCGCGCACCGCCCTACGCCCCCCAGCGGCTTCTCCCGCTAGCTCAGGGTGGGCCCCCTCCCACCGCTCGAGCTAGAAGTACAGCTGCTTGAACCTGGGATCCAAAAATGTCGCCACTGCCAGCTCCATGCTGATGCCGTACACGTACTTCTTCAGTACCTTTAGAGCTTCCCCCGTCAACAGCTTGCACAGCTCCCCGGTACTGGGTCGTGGTAGATGCGCTCAAGCTCATCCATGAGCAGGTTGTACTGCGGCACCACTGCTGCGGCAGTGGGGTACAACGACCCCTCTGCCGCAGTAGTGATGTCATGGAAGGGCTTGAGGAATTCCAACAGAATCCTCAGAGCGTCCCAGTGCGCATCTGCGAGGCGGACACGCGCAGCCTGTTCGCGCGTGCGCTTGTCACGTGCCGACTGTGGAATGGGGGATTCAGGGGAACACGCCAGCAGCAGAGGGGGAAACTCATATTTTGGGAGGGTAATACGCATGGGCGAATTAGGGAGACTGTCAGCATTTCCGAACGGAAGAAAAACATGCACGCGAATTGTGGCAACCCAGGAATTTGGGAACCATACCTCGAGTCCTGAGAAGTATAGTAGGATAGGATCTTTCAGCATCAAGAAGCGCTCCACCATCTCAAAGGACGACCCCCATCACGTGGGGGTGTCGCTGATGAGCCGGAGAACGTGGCCGCCTGACCCGCCAGTCGCAGCTGCTCGTCTCGAACGCGTCCGAGCGCGTCAAGCTCCACCCAATGAACGACGCAATCTCCCGCATACGCTTGAGCGGCTCGAGGACTGCTGGGACTCCAAGTGCCTTCTGGACCGCGAGGTTCAGAATGTGCGCCAGACACCTGAAGGGGGGAAGTCCATTGCATGGCACGACATGGTATGGCATGTCATGGCATGGCATGGCATGGCATGGCATGGTACAGCATGTCATGGCATGGCATGGCATGGCATGGCATGGCATGGCATGCCATGGCATGGCATGGCAAGGTACAGCATGGCATGGCATGGCAAGGCCTGGCATGGCATGGCATGTCGTGGCATGGCATGGCATGGCATGGCATGGCATGTCATGTCATGTCATGGCATGGCATGTCTGGCATGGCATGCACCACACACCTGAAGAAGAAGCCGGGGTTCAACACTGGTGGGTTGCGAGCGTCCTCGGTCTCCGGGTCGCCAGTCAGGATCTTGAGCGCCTTGATGTTGTTCTCGGCATTGTCCGTCGTGATGCCGAGCACAGAGTCCTTCAGCCCCCAATCCAATATGACCTTCTCCAATGTCTCTGCAATCAGCACCCCGGTGTGCGATCCCTAAATCTCCTCAAACTCTAGCAGCGCCTGTCGCAGCTGGAAGTCTGTCGTGATCCAGTGCGCCGTGACGGCAAGGAAAGCGTCTTGCGCCGAGCTGGACCAAATGTCCGTGGTGAGGGAGACCTTCCCCGCCGCACCATCACCGACAATGTCTTGCAGCTGGCGCTCGCGCGCGGCGTCGCCTTGCACGAGCATGTCGCGAGCGAGGCAGAAACGGGAGCCGAGCAGTTCAGCAGCGGGAGGATTGAGGAGGCGGGTGTAGCGGCGGAAGTGGGGAAGGGAGGGCAGGGGAAGGAGGGGGGGGGGGGGGAGTAGGTGGACGTGTGCAGAAGTGCCGCTCTACATGGTTGGGGTGATATTCCATAACGACACGTGGGCGGTTCAAAATGCGCAGATGTGAACGAGCGCATGTGCTTACAAACTTATCTCTGTCAGTTCTTACCGAGGGGCGGTCGACCAGGCAGCACGGAAGGTCCGCGTCTGCGAACAGCTCGACAAGAGCGTGGCGCAGACGCTCCTGCGTGACGCGATGACCGAAGAACTGAGGGATCTGCCGTCGACCCGCCTCGACACCGCGCACCCGAACCGCACGTGCCCGCACCATGGATGTCGGGGTATGCATCAGCGTGCTCCCACGGGTCAGGTCCGCCTGGCACCCCCGGGTACCCCTTCGCTGGAAACTCCAACCCTGGCTTCTTGTTGGCATCAGTGAACAGGCGATACCAGATCTGGAAGTGAGGCATGTGGAACGAGCGCATGTGCTTCCACGCCGAACCAGTGCTGCTCTCACCCCAACCGATCGGCACCTCGCATACCTTGCAGCATCGCGCCCCATCCCCCCCCTCTGGCTGAAAGAACATCCCCTGCATAAGCCCAGGGACAGTACCCCAGTAGCGACTGTCACCTGAGAGCTGTCGCTCGCTCGCGACCGCTTATGCTGTCCACCTGTGCCCCTCCCCCCCCCACGTGGGATGACAGGCCGCCCCGGCGCAGGCGTACCACACTCCGCATGACCCCCTCCCCACGCCCTCAGCATCCCCAAAGCGCGCTGCATCCCACCACCGACATCCAGCTCCCCCTCCACTATTAGTGCCACTGCCGGCACCAATCGCCCCTGCCCTCCCCCCACCAGGTCCACCACGGCCGCGACCTCTTCCCCTCCCCCTCCCCCTTCCCCTGCGCTCCCCCTCGCCCTCCCCCTCCCCCTCCCCCTCCCCCTCCCCCCCCCTCCCCCTCCCCCTCCCCCTCCCCCTCCCCTCCCCCTCCCCCTCCCCTCCCCTCCCCTTGGCCGGTCCATCTCCTGACGCCTCATCCTCCTCTTCCTCCGCATTGGGATGCCACTCCTGGACACCCTCGCCTCCCCCCCCCCCGTCCACCACCCTGCCCACCGTTCCCCCCCCCCCTGGGTTGCCCCATGCTCCCCCCCTCCTGCATCGCCCGCCTCCACCTCTTCCAGGAAGTCATCATCCTCTCCCCCCTCGTCCGCACGGACACCGCTCGCCAATGCAAAACTCTGGCGGCCGCTAGGGAGAGGGAGGCCTGTCAGAGATGCTCCAGGCATGGCACCGCTCTGGAGCCCGCCACCCTCAACCCTCCCGCTCCCGAAAGGGACGGGACGCCCGTCACGGTCGTAGAACTGCATGACGGGATAGTTTCGAACCCTAAACTATGCGCTACGGCAAGGATTTCGAGTGGGCGAATACGTCGTGTAACTCAAGATCTCCAAAACCCTAACCCCCACGTGCAACCAAGTTCTCTCCGTTTTGTTTTACCTAAACCCTAAGTAATGTCGGGAAAAAACGATTTAGAGAGCGGGGAATGTTTAGATTAATGTGGGTGCTGTAGTTTGGTGGCGCGAGTATGATAGGGACTCTACGAAACTAGGTCTGCAAAATTGGGGAGGAAATTTCGACCAAATGGTCGAAATTTCCAACCCTCCCCAATTTTGATCGCGCTGCTGCCGACGGGTAGTAGCGCGACCCGATTTCGGGTCGGGTATACCCGATCCGACTTCGGGTATTTACCCGAACTCGGGTATGTAATACTCGACCCGGCGGGTACCCGCTACCCGCGTCGTCGGGTAGCATTTCGGGTAGCGGGTATCGAATACCCGCCCGGGTGACCCGGACCCGACCCGCCGGGTATTTTACAGGATTTCAGATACCCGACCCGCCCTAAAAGCGGATCCGGGTACCGGGTACCCGACCCAGTCGGGTAGTTTGCTCAACCCTAACTGCCCTTATCATTGGCAGATAGGAGCTCAAACCCCTCAGCGTAGGCATAGGCAAGGGATGGGCTCGGGTAGACACGGGCAAAAAACATCTTTTTTATCATCGCGCGATGCGATGAATTATTTATCGCGCGATTTAATTTAAATCGCAGTTTAATCGCACTGGAAAACGCGATTTGAATGCGATATGCATGCGATGTAGCACTGAAACCCACTACGAAACCACACTATTTATTTGCACTCTAGCTTACGACTGCCCGTGATTCATTTTCCCGCAGCCATGGTTTTTTTTTCCTTTTTGGGTGTTCTTTCATTCTGTTTTAAAACGCGATGCGATTTAAAATCGCATCGCGCGATGTAATTAAATACCGCATGCGCTTTAAATATTAATCGCGCGCAGAACGCGATGTGCGATTTATTTTTCCAGAAATTAAATCGCGCGATGCGATTTCAAATCGCATTGGATTTGATTGAATTGCCCCCCAGTGCGATGCGATTTAAATCGCAATCGCATTTTGCCCATGTCTAGGCTCGGGCCGGCCTGGCCCGAGCTGCCCCGGCCCGTCTATCTAAGAGACGGGCTTGGGCTAAGCCGGCCGCCACCCCCGGCCCGAGGCCTGTCTGAAGTCGACAGGCCGGGGTGCTGTGATGCGCCTAGTGGCCCTTGGGCCCGTGGCGTTCCGCCCAATTAGCGCGGTTCCGGTGTTTCGCCGCCGGATCCGCGTGGATTGGGTCGTTTCGCCCACCAATTCGGGCTGGCGTTTTCCTCCTAATCGTCGCAGATCTGGGCGAAAATTGACCTGAGGGTAGAAAATATCGCCCAGCATGACCTGTCCCCAGCCTGTCGTCATCGTCAGAGACGGAGCAGACGTGTCGACCCAGACCCGTTGACACAGGCCGTCCACTAAGGGGAGAGGAGACTGCCTGGCCCAAGGCCTGCCCCTCTGCCCATGAAACCTCAGTTTCTTCCTAACTGCACAAGCTTACCCTAATCTTTGGGAAAGCTAGCGCATTTGGTGAGAGTAGAATATAGGCCGTTGGGTAGCTGAAATGGTGAGAAACCCTACGCTAGTTCTGCGACGTGGTGTGGCGGGTAGTGTTTGCCAAAAACCCTAAAAGCCGAAATGTTGGACCCC